ATATATTGCTCATTTGAAAAGCCGGTTCCTAAACCATAACTCAGTTTTAAATAATTTTAGTGTTTTGTTTCCAAAGTATGATTTTAACGAAAAAAACTGAAGAATTGTTTGCTTTCTATGAAAAAGTAATCGACTGCTCGAAACAAAACTTTCTTCTGGAGGTAAAAATGTGGAAAAAACGTGTTTCACACAAACATTTTCGAAATGCTCTCAAAGCATTACAAGTAGCTAATACAACGTCTTTTGGACATGTTTTTAAGATCTTACGTATATTGGCAAAGTGCCCGTTTCAATAGCCACACCTGAACGAAGCTTTTCATGCCTGAAAAGAATTAAAACCTACTTGAGAAATACAACATGTCAAGAAAGGCTCAACGGTCTAGCATCTATGAATATTCACAAAGATATAAATTTTTCAGTTGACGAAGTTCTAGAAGAATTTTTCAAAAAACCACGAACAATTTGAAAATTCTTCGTTTCATTGATTTATAAGTAAAAAGAAAATTTAGTGTGTTCAAAATTATCAAAATGATTTTAAAAATTCGTGTTTTGAAACTTTATTACGCATACTTTCTTCTAAAGAGCCTTTTTTCTAGACCCATATTAGTGAAATATTATGCTTTGACTTGAGGGGGGTGGGGGGGTTATAAAAATGTTAAAATATCCGCCTTTTTGTTTCAAATAAGGATTAAGAATCTAGTTTATTGTGTACAAATTTCAAATCAATCGAATCATAAACGTCTGAGATATAGCGAGTTTAAATGAAAATTTCGCAAAAAATGGCCGCTGTGAAAAATGAAGTTTTGTGGCTTTTTCGGCAGCAAAAAATCGCCCTGGGACGATATGCGCAGAGAGAGGCAATTTCTATTTTCGCGCATTGCGCGACCTTCTATGTATAGATCTTGCTCGCGCCTATACAAAATTTATAGAAAGCTTAAAAGAGCTTTGCCCACGGGCAAGACAGTGCCTATCAGTGCTCAAAACAGAAGCGCACTTGCAGTCGCACCTACTGGTGAACAGATACTGATGGTTTCAGTGAGCCCTTAAGCCGAATAGGACGGAGCGACCCACATCACAGCTCTCTCTCTTTCTGCGTGACCAAAACACTTGGATTGGTTACCGCATCT